GGCAGCCAGCCCATGGCAGGGGAGCCTGGGGGGCTGAGAGAACCCTTACAACCATTCCATGATTCATTCAACACTCTTGCCCTGCCTTACCTTTCAGCCTTAATGATCTCAGTGATACAACACATCAGCATCCAGGTCTTCTGTCTTTAATGAGGTGCCCAGGTATACTTCAAGCCAGAAGTCCTTCATGCACACTAACTCAGTCCTTTTGCCCTCTTCAGTAGCTTGAAATATGAAGGCATCAAAGCACTGTCCCTAGAATTTATTGTAATCTTTGTTTTCAGTTGTATGTACACTCCAGTGCCCTGGTATATGCATCAGCGCTTTGACAATGCAATTTGAGCCTCCAATGAAAAATTTCCACTTGAGCAGAAAAATGTCTGGGCAAGCAGAAGGGAATTCATGTGGAACTATCACTCTAAGAGGACTGTTTGATATGGTGTTGAAGTGTATGTTAGACATATCCTTACTTGGAGAGACTGCAGGAACTAGATGTTATTTTAAGCAACATAATCATTTTAAATGGATTTTTTATTTAGTGGCTTGGACAAGGAAGCATAATATAGAGGACAGCTTACTCAACCCTGCCAAAAAGCACAAACTTCATTCTATTTATAGGAAGGTGCACGTGCTCTGCTGTATGACAAGCTTTAGAAACAAAATTTCTTTTCAGAATACCCAGAAATCTTGGGCGATGTTTATTGTAGATTCTCTTTTTTAGCCACAACGTTTGTTAAGGGATTGGTGAAAAAGCATATAAACTGTACCCAATTACATTTGTTTAGTCTGTAAATCTTCTCAGTAGTTTTAAAACTCAGTTAAACTGTTTTGTTAAAGGAAAACAGCCACCTCTGGGATCTTCCCTGGAGTCTTAAACATTTTCAAAATGCACAACAAAAGCATTACAGAAATCAGGTTATAAAATGAACAGCAAACACAAATGACCATGCCACCTTCTGATGTCATTTTACAGTGTTTCTGTGCATCATTCTGTGCTTTAATTCACAAGGGAGTTGATAAACCTCCATTCAACAAAGAGGTGCCACCAGCACTCACAAAGCCTTCTCCTGTTCTTGTGACTTGTGGCCATGTCTTAGCAGCACCAAGCGGTACAGCCCCTATTTCTGCTTATGAGTTTCCATGCCATTTCTGTCCAATGAGAGAACAACCTTCAGATGAAGAAGTTCTGCAAGAAAAGCTCTTTTTTTCATATGTAGTTCTGCATAAAAGCTGCTTTTTAAGCCACTGAACTTGTATTTAATCAACATAAACTCTCTGTGTGGAACAATATTCAGATTTATTTTTTCATAATGCTGACAAACACTGACAAAGGATATGTCAGAAACACTTAGATCTTGCAACTGCTATCCAGGTGAAGCATGAAAGATGGTAGAATTAAAATATTCAAAAAAAGCAATTGCAGTTGGTTTTTCTCCTGCCCTTACACCCACTGATGACAGAGAGGGGGTTTTCTTCATGCTTACTGAACACATGCTTAGGGAATTACTGGTTCTAACTTTTTCAGGATTATTAGAAAATTCCCTGTAGGTTCAAACTGCTATTGGCCAATGGTAGGCATAATAAAAATATTAAAGCTGCTGTGAATTTCATTGTAAATCTGAGAAAAACAGAAATATTTCTGGGGAAAAAAAAGTACGAATGTGAAAAAGAATGATATCAACTGTATTACATATTAAATAATGAGTTCTGACACGCATTTCAGTTTGTTTTACCATGTCTAGGAACAGGAATTGCACTATAACAGTGATAGTCTGAAAAAAAGAACTATGTGGTAGTAAAATACAGATTAAACATAAGATCAGAAAGGGTTGTAGGGCCTCCATTCTTCAGTGTCTGCATCAAAACACCTACAGATGTGCCCTGCATTTGCTAAGGCATCACACAAAAATAAATTGATGAGTACTTGATAACAGTGATAAATTAAGACAGATAACTAGTTTGCATTCTGAAAATTAGATAGCACGGCATGTTTGCATGGCTTTAATACTAATGTCATCTCTATAATAAACCTTCACATAACTAACTTTTCCCTCTTACTGTTTGTCTCCTACAGGGTTTTTTTGTGGCAGTTTTATATTGCTTTGCAAATGGAGAGGTAAGAAATGGCAATATAAGTTTTCAGTTAATTAATTAAATATATTATTGAAGAAGGATGAAAACACTAGCTCTGGTTATTGAGAGCATAATCACATCTTTTAAAACTTATGTAATTGTTTTGTATAAAGAAAGCAAGAGTTCTCATATTCAAATGGATTGAAATGCAAAGTATTTTCAGTTAATCTTATGTTAATATATGGCACTGTGGAGGTATAGATACCCTATGACGTGAAATATCACTGAATGCTTATGGTCAGGCCCCCGAACCCCACTCTGCTCTAGTGCTTCCATGCTATCAGAAGGAACCATATTTTCCATAGCTCCAGGTAGAACTTCTCTTTCAATTTATGACAACTATCTCCTGCGTCAAAAAACACCTCAGTAGAGTACGTAGCTCCAAATCTCCCACAGCCTCCTCATAGGCTACCTTCAAAACACTGAAGCCTTTCTCCTCTGCAGAATGAACAAGTCCTACTCATGCAGCCTCCCCTCAAAGTGCAAGTGCTCCAACATTGATCCCTACTGAAAAGTCCAAGCTTATCACCATATTTGTTACATTGAGGGGCCCAATATCAGATACAGCATTCACGCTGAGTAAAGGAGTATAACCACTTAATCTCCTGGTTCTGCTCTGCAGCCTGGTGTACTGGAGGCCTTAATTGCTGCCACAGCTGCATGCAGTCTTGGCTTGGCCACTCCGGCTCATTACAGGCCACCTTTGAAAATGAGGCTTGTGTAGGCTTAGAAATTCATGTCACAGTTTTAAATATTTTCTAAGTTGAAGCTTTCTGGGAGGCTGACCTCCCTTATAGTCAGCCTGGATGTAGCTGATGTGGTATACACTGCACTTGTACTGTGTATACTGTGGTATACTGACACTTGTACATGACTCTGAACACCTTTTTAAAGGCAAAAAAAATGACATGAGATGTATAGAAAATGTAGGGCATGCAATCCTAATATTTAACCAAAAAACCTGGAATAACTTCCAAATTACTGTCAAAGAGACCTGGTGCTCTTTTGCAGCACAGGAGAACTTGTCCAACATTTATGAGGGGCACAAAACTACTAGCAACTCTCATCAGCAGTTAAAAGTTGCTTTTCGGAGCTTTTAGCTCCCAGCTGAGCTAAGCTCTCAGGCCAAATGTTCTGATGGTTGAAGCGGGGGCTGCTCCTCTGCATGGGCTCTGAGGCCTGATTTCCATCTGCAGAACTGAGCCAGGGTTGGGGCAGGGAAAAACAGGACATTGAGTGTTGGGGATTTAAGGCAGGCTGCCAAATTAAAAAAAATCAGCAGAACAAACCTGATCTCCAAGCATAACGCTCTGGAAAAGCCACGCAGTCCTCATTTCGACAGCCCTTGGGATTTTCCTCCTCTTCACTTCATCAGGCTGTAAACATGGAAGGCACTTGAGCTCTCCCCTCATACAGATCAGGGTCATAATACATCAAATTACAGAGAGGGATTCAGGCACTGGAAATCTTTCCTGAGTTTGAGTGAAGAGGGTGGGAGCCTGAAGGCTCCCTTAGCAAACAAGCCCATTCTGCACTACAAAGACCATCATAGCTGCAAGGTGACTCCAATGGACAAGACACTCAGCACTTCTGCAGTCCCTCTCCCTTAACTGCTGGTGTTTGGATGAGTGCACTGCTGGACTGGCATAAGAACATCACCTGTTTTCTCCTCCCCTCAGGTAAAAGCAGAACTCCACAAGCAGTGGTCCCGCTTCCTGCTGGCAGAACCCTTTGGTCGTAAACTCTGCTTTCTTGGGCAAAACATCAAATACCTCAGGAAATGTTCACAGAAAGAGAAAAAACAGCACCTCAGCAGCAACCACTTGTGCCTGGTGGTGAGTGAGCCCTGGGGTGTAAAGCTCCAGCAGTTGCTGGCGAAGCAGAGGGCAGTTCCATGCACAGAGCAAGGCCGTGCACTTCCATCTCGTCTGCGGGCAAGTGTGTCAGACAGCAGCGAAGGAGAAGTGACCACTGGAGAGACAACTGTGGAGGTGGTCTTTGAAGAAAGTGAGATCTAGAAAGAAGTCCACCAGGACAGCACCTTCCAACAGCCACAGTGTTTTGAAAGATCATATTCTTCTTTCATCTCCAGGCTCCACAGTCCTACTTCCTGCCAGCCTCAGCTGTCCCACCTCAACTGACTGAAAAATCTGAATGTTCCTAACCCATGTGGCTGGGAAGGAACAGGTGCATCAAAAAATCCTTTGGGTTGGCCAATAGAGATAATAACATGCTGAAAGGGATGTACACAGGGGAGCAGGATGTATGCTGGAAATGAACAGACTGGTCATTTTCTCTCCCATCAGCTTCATCCATACATGTCCTATTCACACAAAAAAGTTGTTTGTTGTTTGTTTTTCTCTTTTATAGTTGCATTTCATAAATAGAGATACATGACTGGGAGATTTTTCTCTCTGCAGATTGAAATAATCCCTCATCTCAAAAAAAAAAAAAAAAAAAAAAAAAAGAAGAAAGAAAAAACAACAAAACAAAACAAAAAATCCCCATCTAGCTCCAGGTTAAACCAGATGCATTTTATTTAAGCAACATGATAAAAAGGCTTGGGATGAAGCAAATTTTGGCTTAGATGCTTAAGCTTCTTCCATTATGATCTAGTGCTGGAAATGCCTATATGAAGTGACAGATCAAAAAGTACTTATTCTTTTTTAAATGCCCAAATGAAAAATTTAGTGTTTATTTTTGTTTTCACTATTTTTTTGGCACAAACCACACATTCTGATACATCTGTACATTACCCTAGCTGACTTGAAGACATGCGTTATGATCAGTGGGAAGTGCTGCTTCCATCTTCCCTGAGGTACGCAGCATGGATAATGGATATCTGATTGTGTCTGCATCGAAACATAATTGTGAAATTTATCCACTAGCATTTAAAAAGAGTCATGGTGAAATTTTCACTGTCACACACAGCTCCCCTGGAGACCTGAGGAATGCAAGTTTGTTAATATCTGATGAGCCAGCCTGCAAACTTGTCAACACAAGCCATGTGGCATACTGAAAGGAGAAAGAAAAAGGCAAAAAAAAAAAAAGATTAGCAAATAATATTTATCTACAATATAAATCTATACTCCAGGCACACACACTGTAATCACTGAGCCAGCAGCAAGTCACATAGCATTTCTTATGATTAGCTCCGGTACTTTGCTGGCAAACACGCTGAGTGTTTGCAAATGTAATAAAACACAGCAGATGTCCCCTAAGCAAAGTTCAGATCTGTCTGTGGGCTCTGTTCTCCCATCTTTCTTTCGCCCCACCACGTGCCAACACTGCAGCTGGCCTTCCCTGCCCCTTCTTCTCCCCGCAGTGATGCTCTGTCCCCAGACCTCTGCTGAGGTGCCTTTAGAAATGGCACTTTTTGGAGAGAAGTTGCCTGTATCTTCGATCTGTTGTTTGAGCAGATTCAGTTTATGTAGGTTATAAAACTTACCAGTGTCACCTGCTGTGATATACTGCTTTTGTACAGAGGTCAGATAAGTTCACTGACAAGTGCCAGATCAAGAACACATTTGAACTATCAAATTTCTGGTACTTTTCAAAAAAGTATTTATTTTATAGTTTTATCAAAGTTAAAAATTTAGTCTCTTTAGTATATGTAGATAACATACTATTAAAAAGTAAATATTTGATCAATATGAAAATATATTATCAATTTTTAAAGGCTTTTTTTCTAGAATGTCTGTTTTGCTTCTATCATTTGCAATGGATTACAGGCACCCAGCACTACATATCTGCTGATGTCTTCTCAAATTTAAAGATTGACTTCTTCCATGGATACTGTTTATGCTATTAAAAAGCCTTCAGCAGTTTAGAATGCATTTTACATAGGTGCTAAAAATGTGAACATTGTAAGAAATGTATTGTATCTCAGTAAAGTACCTTTTTACCATAGAGTGTTTCTGTTTCCATTTCAAATCTTCACAAATCTCATGCTGTGCCAAGCGTCAAGTTGGTTTGGAGTATTTTCATAGTCCCAAAGTCACACAGAACAGCTGTAAGATAAACTGCTGTAAGCGATGTCATTGCAATTATCTTCAGGAAATTAAATAGGAGCTGCCACACCGTCAGGCTATGTCTGTCTGTCAACTCAGCTTCCTCTTGTAATATGAACCACATTCAATGGTTATTTTCTTCCATCACAAATAAATTCCTTTCAGCATTTTAAAAGGGGATTATAAACAGGAGGGGAATCAACTTTTTACAAGGGTGGGCAGTGATAGGACAAGGGGAAATGGTATTAAGCTCAAGAAGGGAAGGTTTAGATTGGATGTCAATGGGAAGTTCTTCACGGATAGAGTGGTGAGGTGCTGGAACAGGCTGCCCAGAGAGGCTGTGGATCCTGTGTCCCTGGAGGTGTTCAAGGCCAAGTTGGATGGAGCCCTAGGCAGCCTGGTCTTGTACCAGATCTGGAGGTTGGTGGCCCTGGGGGGGATGGAACTTGATGATCCTTGGATCCCTTCAACCCAAGCCATTCTATAATTCTAAAATTCTGTTTTACTCCATTCAGTTTTCTTTACCTTCTCTGGAGGCAGCACTGATTTTATGCCCAGCAAAATCTGCAGACAACAGCAACGGCGTTAGGCTTCTCACCATCCCTCCAGGAGTGCCCTCTTCTTCTTGCATAACTGAGTCTCTCTGGGGCTGACTGAGATTTCTGTCTACACAACAACCCTTTTAAACTCCTGTTTGATTTTACAAGGTTCCATTCCTCACAGCAAGATTCTTTCCCTGCCTGGAGAACCTTACTGTTGCCAAAGATGAGACATGACTTGCAGGGATTCTGGAATCCAACTTCATCAGGCCCTAACCACGGGCACCACATGGACCGTATCAGTGGCAGAGATGAAACAGGCTGCGAGAGTGATTCTGGCTTCTTTCTACCCTTTCACTTCTCACATCCAGTTGCTCCTTCCTCTCCTCTGTGCTTCAGGGCTGGTTCTTAGGTCTCTCGTATAGAGCTTTGGGATTGCAGTCTCATTTGCAGCCTAAAAAGTTTTCCCTCATTTTCGCACATTTGAGTGTCATTGAACTCAAAGCTTCACAATACATGAGGTCACAAAGAGTAACTGCCTTAATTTTATTCTTGATCAACACAATAAATTGCAGTGTAATTGCTTTGAAATTTGCACAGCGGGAGATGTTGCTTTCTACCTCCCACTCTTCTACAACCCAAGAACTCACATGTCAGCCTCCATGTATGAAGTTCATAGAACACTATCTTCCACTCCTACCCAACCTCCCGTCACCCGCACCAGCAGGGTCACAGAGCTGCTGTGCTTCCTAGGGCCCAGCACCTACAGAACTACCCTGGAGGGTTCTCATCAGCTGACCTTGGCATCCTGAGTTGTCACACTGGCAGGCAGCTGCTCTGCTCTGCACGGCCACTCCAGCAAAACCTGCATGGATCTTGCCAGGAGGAAGGTTTAGAGGGCTCCCACCCCCAGCAGCTTTTGTTGTTGCCTTGCAGCACCACTCATCTGCCAGACAGCAGCTGAGAGGTTCTCCCTGCAGCCCTGGAGTGCTCTTGGCTTTTTAATCCCTTGTTACTCTTCTGGAATGTGCTAAGGGGGACTTCAGGAAATATTAAATGTGGAAATCCCCTCAAGGCATCCAGGAGAGCATACTGAGGCTTCTCCTGCAGCTTTGCACAAGGCCGGGGTGGGGGTATGGCCCTGGTAGGGCTAGAATGAGAGCAAGAAAAGCAGCAGATAAGACTGAAGTGCTGGAAATGAAGAGAGTGAATTTGTGGAAGGGATTTATGTGATTGAATTCTTCAAGAACAACAGATGTGTGATAACAAAGCAGTGTTCAGAGGGTAAGGGTGCAGGACTGGAGAGGGACAGGTGGCAGCTGAAGTAATTTGGGGAATAATTGCATTTCAAGGAAGAGGAGAGAAGGCTGGATGGGAAGATGCCACTGGATGAAAAATGCTTTGAAAAGCAAATGATTGGGGCAGGCAGGGAGGAGTATGGCAGTGAGCCATTAGATTGTGGGACCACAAAAGACAAATAGCAGTCTTCTCCATACCAGCATTATGACAACAAACTAACTTGGAGAGTTGCAGGTGACATCAGTGTGCTTTGCAGCTGTTTTCTTCAAAATGCCATGGGACGTTCATATGAATTCAGAAATGAACTCACAGGAGAAAACATTTGGAAGAGAAAGAATCAAAATGCATTTCAGTACAAAGCTTTCATCTCACACCCTTCCCTGAGAAACCAGTACTTTCTGGTCACTGTCCAAGCCAAGATACTGGGCTGTATAGTTTTGGCCTGGTACAAATTTTTATTTTATTTACTTTCACCTTAAATACTTCACAATCCAGCAATATTTCCCCCTTTCTATGTTTGCCAGAAAGTGAAGGGGCAGTTCCTGAAGTCTGAGCTTGTGAGCAGAGGATGACTGCAGCCACATTGCAGAGGTTAGCTTGAATATATGCAAGTAGCTGATTCAGAAAGAGCATTCTCGTCTCTTCCAGCAAGTAGAAGCAAATGACACAGTCTTAAAGCATTTGCTAAGTCTACAAAAAATCATAGGTCTGTAAATACGACTATAATTTATGCTTTAGCTGCGGGAGACTGAGCGTCCGCTTGTCAGCTTTATAAAACAGGAAGTCAAATTAAATTGGAGCTAGAAGTTCTCGTCTGCTTTCAGGGACCTGAAGGGAAATAAAGAACATAATCAGAGCATGCAGTGTAACCAGTGAATCTGAACTGTTTGTCTCTATAATAAATACTTTACAAGTGCATGCTTGTAATTTTTTCTTTTATTTGTATAAAGGCTGAGACAGTAATTTAGACAAGATTCTTTGAGTAAGAAATATGACATTAGTATGTTTACGGTTTGACTCCAGATAGAAGAACCTGACTCCCCAAACTTCATTCGTGTGTGGTCAGATTCAGTGTAAGGTCTACAAACAGCCCTCTCTGGGCCATTGCGTCTTGACCTTTAGTTCAAAACCTGCACAGTATTTAAGGAAACCATGCAAGAGCAGTGGTAGTTGGCACCTGTAAAGCAAACCTGGAAAGAATACTAAAGCTGTGTTAAAACATTTACATTAATTTTGCACGTTTTGCTTTTAAGGGCCTTATAAAGGGCATGTGTCAGTGAAGCCTCACAAACACCTTCAGCCTATTTTGCCTACAGAGGAAGTTTTCTGTACTTCATATGATGCCCAGCATTAGTTATGACTGCTCCTGCTCTATGATCTTCTATGAATTCCTCCATGAGCATTGCAAATCACAGTGGGCATCTCTGCCTGTCTGCAACCTGGTTTGTTTCTCTGTCCATCCTAAGTCCTGCAGAACAGAGTTTTCTCCTCTTGTGCTTATCC